AAAGTCACTCATTTATGTGTGTGTGTGTGTGTGTATTTAATTACGGCAAAGCACACTAGGGCTATCTGCCTAAGGGGAGGGATGTCTTTCGTAGAGGACTTTCTAAGGGAAACTGGCTCGTATACACGTTACACGTGGGGAAAACCACGAAAACACCCATGCAGCCAGCCCGTTCGCGGGATTCGAACCTCTCACTCATTTATGAATTACTCTCAATTTATCCATAAAGTTTAATAATCCCTTTCGATCAGGAGTAAATTATATTTACGCTGTGAGACATATAGTGTTACTGCATGTTGAAATTAAAAGCGAATGAAGCATATATCGATATAGAGCGTTTAGTTTTGCAACTAACTGTTTTTAAGACTCATCGATGAGAATTTATATAAATTGTTTTCAGTTCCGAATTTTGAGTAAATTACTGATTTGAAAATCTAACATCCCATTTAAGTAATCGAATTCAAGGAGTTTACATGAAGTATTCATAATTTAATAACTTAAGAACACATTTATTTTGACTTGAAATTTTCCGAAACTTTCTTTTTCCTTAGAGTACTCGTTTCTCAAAATACAAAAAAGACCCAGATTTCTCATATTGACAGAAAACGAAGCTCCTGGAACTGATCAGAAACGCATGAAACTGTCTAGAATTTCTGGAATTTATCAGCTATCCTTGCTTGGGAGCTGCTGGTGATTAGCCACTCGATTTACTGTCGCAACACCAAAGCTTTACATGTCATCTTATATTCTTCAGTAAGTCTTCGAACTACTTTTTAGGTTCGCTAAAAAACTTTCTTGTTTGAAAACGGGACCACACATTGAAGTCGGGGTCGGATAGTCGGGCGATTATGGTGGTCATAGATTCCTAGGAGGTACTGCGATTGTTACAGACTCCTTTGTTCTCGAACATCAATTTTCGTGACGTGTGACAGACAAGTCGATAAATCTTGCTACCAGTATTCATGTGACTTTCCTCTCGTTTTAAGAGAGTACAGAAAAACCTTTTGTAAAAGGGTTTCTCCTTGCCTGTAAAATTCTGTAAAATCAAAGAAATGAAAATAGTCAGGAAAACTGAAAGCATTTTTAAAAAACTCGGGAAAAGATGACACATTTTTGAAATGTTCAGAGTAGTTAAAAAAGAGTGAAGACGAATCCAGAATAAAAGTAACTCTGGTTTTTCTTCAGGAAACAAATTGAACAATTACTGTAATCTTCATTTATCTTTCAAAAATTGCTTTAATTATTTTATATCTTATACAATTCTATCAAACTTCAGTTCCCATTTTACATCTTAGTGAACTGTTCCTGACTTCCCTTCGGAAATGTTACTGGCTGGATAACATCTCCTCAGAAATCTAACCATCCTTCAAAAATAAATAGTTTATTTAAAAAGAAGAAACACTGTGTGGTTATTTATTACAATAGTAACACTATTAAATTAAAGCTTTTTTCAATGCAGTGTATTCTTAATTTTTCAATTTTTTCGAAACATCAAAGAAGAAATATTTATTATGAACGACTCATAGTACAAAATTCCTCTTGCAGAATTAAATGGCTTTTCCAGAATTGTATCATTTAAAAAAAAACCTATCTAGTTTTTTGAATGGTTTAGAAACAAATTTCAACTGTACTCTTGGCCACAAGAGCCTTTACCGAGACATTATTTTCGCAGCCGTTTGTCATAGAAATTCAAAAAAAATAAATTTTGTAAAATTTGTAAAAGCTAACTTTTTATGCGTTCTTCCCCTGGTTCCTATACGTATATTTATAAACATTTTGCGATCATAATACACAAAGTTTCACATCCGTAATAATCCGTACAAAAATTTACAGAGATATTTAATTTCAAAATTTGAGATTTTTTACATCGTATTCAATTTGCATTGAGAATTTAGTTAATACATAAATTAGAATAATTTGAGGTTGATTTTTTCCCCTTAAACATCTTTCATTGATTGATTTACTAATTTTCTACATCAATTTATAATTTTTTACACCTGATACGTTAAAAGAGATTTCATCTAAGTAATTTATCAGTTTTGAATGTCTAATGGTATGTTATTTATGTTCTCATGAAATTTTACGACTTTAGAATCGTAATTTGGTAATCGTATGCAAAACATTTCTTGAAATACAAATATTTTCTTTTTTTAATTAATGCATGTAATATTACGATTTAGCTTCGTGCTAATACTGAAGTCTATTAGTGCTTTTTACAACATGAATTCTTAAGATTCTGTGATTCTGTGTATAAGACTTCCATTTTGAAAAAAAAAAAAAAAAAGGAAAAAAAAAAAAAAAAAAAATGTCGATCAATATTTTTAACAATAATTTGCATTAAAATTCTCGTCACTTAATCTCTTAGCAACGGAAACCTCTTTCTAAATTAATATTTTAATTTTAGTTTGGTGCGTATCTAAAAATTTCGCTCTTCAGTTTGTGTACTGCTCCTAAATATTATACCCGATTTTAATACCAAATATCTCGGTCAATTATTGTCGTACGGGAGTCAAAGGTTTTGTGTCATATGTTTAATAACGAACAGAATATTTTACAAACCGTAAGTAGGAACAAAAGAACGCATAAAAAGATGGATTTTATAATTTTTATATTATTTTTTCCTTAAATTTAAAAATGACAAAACAGGAATATTTGCTTCATTTAAAATATTTTTTGCAATTGGAAATAGATGTGTACAACCAAGGCTTGAAAAAATAAATGGCCTGGTAAGAAAGTTTCTGGACACAGTGAATTTTCCTTTCATTTGATTCACAGTAATGATTAAGATAAATGAAATTTTTATGACCTTACTAGTTACTAAACTGTAATTTGTATGTCATGAAATTTACAAATTGAATATCAATGGAAATTAAGTTTTCAATAATTTTTAATTACTTCGATTTTTAATTCAAAATCTTGTATAATCACCCAGAATAACTGTTTTAAGTCGAAATGGTGTAAAGACGCAATTACAGTTGCTAAAGAAAACAAAATTTAGAAACAGCAATATGTCTAAAATAAGTAAAACGTACGATTCTGTAATTTGCAAGGTTAACCATAACCTAATTTTTTAGATGTTAATGCAAAAGGTTTTGAAAAACTTAAACTGCTGTTGCAATTAAACTGAATCATCAATGATTCGATAGTGGACGATAAATGAGACATTGTGGTAAAGCGAGGACAAGACACATTAAAATATTATTATCCTTCATATGCACCAGCACCAGGTCACTGCATCTATAGTTTCCATCTCTGCTGCTGCTTCCAGAGTTCAAAACTGTAACTCCATCTGTCTAATGTAAAAATCATGAAATATAAGACACTGCTAGACTGCTTAAAACGACATATTTTTCTACCGTAACGTTCGGGTAATCAAAATGTTCTAAATATTGCCTTAGAGATGTGTGCACTTTCACCAAAACATATTACTTTTCTGCAATCATCGCATTAACAGAACGTGGAACAGTATTTTTATTTTTGCATATTTTTATAAAAGCTAACTTGTATACCTCTCGTAAATTTTCGTTAACCGAAGAAAAGTACTTATATAAATCTTTCATAAACCAAGTGACGCAAAGCGAGCATTCATAAGGGGATGATATTAAGCATTCATTCTGAGCCTCCACTTTGCTCCACATTTGCTCTCATAAAATATCCGATTTGGCACCAATGATAAAAAAAATAATTTTTGTTACCGAATTCTGGTAAAACGCATCCCAGTACTGCAATCATGTTTTACAGCATTAAACATTTTAACGAGAAAAAAATTGTTATCATCTTAAAGTATTATTTTTGTTCTATGATTTTGCAATGTGCTTTGTCTATCTTCATCCAAATGGTGTCCGCCGATAACATCGCGGCAAAAACATCGCGGACGAAAACGTCGCGGAGAAAACAAGGTAAGGCGAAAACGTCGTGCTACAAAACATCGTGGGAGAAAAAATCGCAAAGAGAAAACATCGCAGTTCTAAAACATCGTGGTACAAAACATCGTCGTCGAAAATAAAGCGCTTCAAAAACTTCGCAGTTTAAAAGCATCGCCGTCGAAAATATCGTGGTAGAAAATAAAGTATCTACAAATCATCGCATGACGATAACATCGCAGACATGCTTTTTTCAGGTTTTAATAATTGTAAATGGTTATTCCCATAATGATTTGTCAGCGCAAGATGTAAAGAAGCATAATTTTTACTTTCACATTTTTTTATTAACTAATAAATTTTTGCTGAAAAGGTAAGAAGGAAACTTAAGCATAGAAAATTAAATGCAACTTATAGATTACACTTTTCATGAAAAATTACCAGTAAAAACTTTATGAAAAATGATTTATTAATGGCCTGTGTTAGTTAACTATGTCAGTTTAAATTTTTATTAAGTGCTATAAGTTGCATTAATTTTCTATGCTTAAGTTTCCTTCTTATTTTCTCAGCAAAAATTTATTAGTTAATAAAAAATATGAAAGTAAAAATTATCCTTCTTTCCATCTTGCGCTCACAAATCATTATGGGAATATGCATTTACAATTACTAAAAACCTGAAAAAATCATGTCTGCGATGTTATCGTCATGCGATGATTTGTAGATACTTTATTTTCTACCCCGATATTTTCGACGACGATGTTTTTAAACTGCGAAGTTATTGAACCGCTTTATTTTCGACGACGATGTTTTGTACCACGATGTTTTAGAACTGCGATGTTTTCTTTTTGCGATGTTTTCTTCCACGATGTTTTGTAGCACGACGTTTCCGCCTTGCGTTGTTTTCTCCGCTACGTTTTCGTCCGCGATGTTTTTGCCGCGATGTTTTCGGCTGTAACCCATCCAAATGACTAGCAGCAGGTTCCCACTTCTCCTTGAATAGGCTTCTTTTTGAATAAATTTTTTCTATATGCTGTGTGAATAAAATGTTACGCAATTACTTTTCTTGTTGACAATTAAATTTTTAGATGTTTTATTTAAAATTAAATGCTAAAAGTAATTCAGTTACTGCTCTCATTTAAGGAGTGGATTTCTGTCACACTGCGATTCCCTTATATGGAAGGACTTCGCATGGCTGAAGACGAGTACGTCATGATCATGTGCAAACCTCAAGACCGAATCGCTACGACTCAGCACGTCATGGATATGCGTAGCACAGCGTGAGTAAAGGCCATTTTTCTATGTTATATCATACTATATTTGCTAAATAATGCGCATCAAAGTATGTGTAAGACTTTCCGTTTGTTACGAAGGTGAACTGAGTTGAACAGTTCGAACCTTTGCTGAAGGCGAACGCTTTCTAAGAAGGTGAAGGCTATCCAGTGTTACAGATGGTATAATCCTGGAGCTAATTAAAGCCTCCAATAAACTTCAATTTTTGCATGTGGGAAATACAGTATCCTCTCTTCTTTAAGAAATCGTATTAAAAAGTGAGTTTATTAAAAGAAAAGTAAAATTTAAAAAGTAAAATTTTCACTCAGTTTCATTTCTTAGATATGCCATAACAGTCACGCTTTTTTGTTTGTTTCACATAGCTATGGTTATATTGCAAAAATCTGTATTTGTCGACGATTTAAATCTTCGCACAGACATAAGCATACTTTACTTTCCATTTGCCATTCATCGAAAAGCGTATTTTCTTCTTTTCGATCAATATAGTTAGGAAATAGAAATGCACCAAGCGGAGAGATGAACAACGTATACTTTAGCATTCCCCTGGCAAAAAGTACAAATTGCTGAAGTCTGGATTATTTCTATACATAGCTACCAATACATTCTATGCCTATAGAGCAACCTATTGATGCAGTTGTTTTTTGAGGAAAGGGTAATTGTTTTTCGTAATTTCCTCAACTCTACAAAACTGTGGTGTCAACATCGATTATAGAAGTAAATCTCTTACTGTAAAATTTCATTGCTCAGCAAATTATAGGAAATTTCGCTTTTTCCCTTCGAATTTTAGGCATTTGAAGATAGAGGGCGAGTTTTTCAATTCCTTTTTTAGAAGGATAGCTTCAGGTACGTTATTATAATAAGGTACCTTCAGGTACGTTATAAATGGTCATTATAATAACATATAAACATGCCATATATTGCTTCAGTTTACATACAATCAAAGAAATGAAAATAGTCAAGAAAAGTCAGGAAAAATGAAAACTTTTTTAAGAAGGTCAGGAAAAGATGGCACGTTTTTGAAAACTCAGTTTGGAAAATGGGACGAGAAGTAGCACTAATTCTGTGGGATACTTTGAAGGACCAATGCAATAGTTCGTAAACTAGAGGATCATAGAAATATGATTTCGCTGTAAATTGTAAACTACATATATTAGTCTTCTGCACACTATTTTGTGCATTAATTTGAACACCCTTCGGTTGTTTTTGCTTCGGATACAGAGCGCGGGTAGGTGAAAGCCTATAAAGCGAAGTTATGCTTATAAAAAAGCGTTGTTTTGAATGTTAGAAAGTTCAGCCACACGTCTAAGACCTTGCAGAACTGAAATCGCATGTATAAATTGTTCTGCACTATATGAAAGTAAGACTTGTAAGATTGAAGTGCAATTTTTATTAATTGTAAAAACTCAAATGAAAAATATGATGTATCATAATGCACTTTTAAAATGTTGCGAAACGTACCGAAGAGGAGTTAAATTCAAACTTGATCACTTAAAGATGGAAATATAATTTATTATTCTATACTAGAGTTTTAAAATGCTATTTAGATTTTAGAAATTTATAAATTGTATTATGATTTTAAATTTCTGCGGAGGAAACGTTTTTAAGATTTTGTAATTTCATTTTGTTCTACGCCGGGTGAAAATTTTTATTGGTTTTTATTTGTTTTGGTATATAACTTTATATATAGTATGGATTTATTAAGAATAAACTTGAATCACTGCTCTGTTGCGGCATACCAACTCCTTGGGATTGGAAAAATAATTAGCTTGACCCCCTGATGTGGCCCTCATTCAAGAACCGTATTGTATCAATGGAAAGATTGCCTGGGTTCAAGAGACCTGGCTAGTCGTTCATAAAGAAGGAGGCAGGACAGCAATCATTGTTTCAAACGAAGATATTAATTTTCTAGCTGATTGGATTGAAGATACGGTGGTATTTGTTTCACTTAAATTGAGCGAGGATATATTGGGGTTAGTTTCTGTTTATTTCTCGCTCACCGAAGGTTTAAATGGTCATTTTGTCTAATTACAAGAATATATTAAGAGATACAAAAGATATATAATTTTCAAGTAATTTCATTGAAAACATTTTAATTGTAGACTCTTTTCGTGGTTACATTTTAAGTGAACTTATTATGTACAATAACATAGTTTTGTTTATAGTTTTAATTCTCCTCCGACCTTTTCCTCATCTGTTGGTGAGGACGTCACGGATTCCGTACTCGCGTCCGGGAAGATTGACATAAAAGATTATTTATTTAGTGTTTTAAACAGCGAAATTCTTAGTTATCATTTTATTTTATTGAAAGGAAGGTGATAATACGGAAGTAGTTGTTCAGAGATATACAAGATACTCTAGAGATAAAAAATAGATTGGATTGCTCTTGTAAAAGGATAAAAAAGGATATTCAAAGTGTAGGGACATAAGGTATTTTGGAAGCAGGAGTGATGAAAAATGAGCAACGCCTTCGCCGTAAATCAAACCACGAACCTCTGGAATACATGCTCAGCGTGCAAATCACCACACCACGAAGGCGGGAGAAATACTTTATAAAAGTTTAGAAAATGGTTGAGATCACTTACAGAAAGAGAAGAAATACATAATGTCATAATGTGGCTCTGGAGGTGGAAGACGTGGTGATTAAATATACAGATAAAAATTTGAAAATTAAGAAGAAAAAATGCAGGTTAAATTTCTTGGTGGACCCCTCAACTGGAAAAAACAAATAAGAGGGTGAGAGCCCTTAGAAAGAGCTCACAGATAGATAATTTTTAATGGAGATTACAAAGATATTATATAATCGTGAGCTGGTTATATATAAGAGATTCATTAAAAATCGAAGAATGAAAGTAAATATAGATATTTCCTCGAAAGCACAGAATATTATATTAGATTTTTTTTAAATATCAATCAGAAAGCTGAAGAAAAGTATTGTTGATAAAAAGCCTGAAGACGCAAAAGAAGAACATTTTGGAAAAATCTAGGAAAGGAGTATACAGGAGGTTTAATACATAAATAATGACGATGATTATTCTGAGATTACTGTTATAAAAGATGTGGAATTAGAAGATTATTGTTGTGCTCCCGTGAGAGAATTTTCGAGACAAGAGATCCAGATGGTGATTAATAAATTACAAACTAGAAGTGCACAAGCTACAGATGGAATTAGAGCCGCCATCGTAAAAAATATAGTTGATTTTTATTCTGATTTTATGGTTATTTTATACAATAATGTTTTAAATGTCATATTTTTCTAAATATTGGAAGATTGTGAAAATAGTCCTAATTCCGAAAGAAGATGGAAAATACGGAGCAGTTTGTTAAAGTTCCTGGCGGAGGTTTTAGACAAATAACTTACAAAAAGACTTTACAATTATTTATCGACCTCAGAAATTATAACAAGGAGGCAACATGGATTTGAATCGGGCCGCTCCGCTAATGATGCATAGTATGTTTTTTTAAATTATATTCGGTAAAAGAAAAAACTGTTTCACGTGATAGCTGTCTCCTTTGATATTAAAAAAACTTTTGATTCAATGAAATGGAGTATACGTTTACAAATTTTATTAATATTAAGGATCCATATTGATGTTTTCAAACCTATACAAAACGAATTTGAAGAAAGAAAGGAGTAGCTCTCTATAAAAAATAAAGCAGGTGATAAATTACATGAAGTGAAGAGAAGTTTTCTTAAGGTATCATGCAGCGCCCCGCTCCTTTGGAATTCTGTTATCAATGAATGACTTAGTAAGGAGTTCCCCGACCATGTAGAAATGTTTTGTTATGCCGATAACTTAATGTTTGTTGTGTCAGAATGCTTCCTAGAGAGGCTGGAGAAAAATTTAAAGATTCTGTAAATATAACTGATAGCTGAAGAAAAGGAGAGAGATTACAACTCAGCTTTAAGAAGATCAAGGTTCTATTTTTACGCATGGGGATAAAGTGTAAGAAAACCTCGTCTTTTTTATATTGAAAACAAAATTGAACTAATTAAGGATTTGAAATTTTGGGGGTTAGTTTTCTATAACACGCTGACTTTTGTTGAACATTGTAAATATGTACATAGAAAACGTGATTTGATTCTACAGTTTTAAAAAAGAAGCTTCCTATGTGAGAATCTGACTCACAAGAGCACCACATTTTGAAAGATATGTTTTAATGAATATGATATGATTTTAGAAATTATATTCTACGTTACTGGAGCATGGGGAAATCTAGCGTCGGAGATGCCGCGACTTAGAATAAAATTAGATTCCATCCAGAGCAGTGACTTCTGGCCATCACAAGAGATTTTAGAAGTGCTCCAGCGAAGGTAGCCTGCGTGTTAGTTCGCATTTCGTTCCTCTCACTACAATACGACTTTTACTACAAAAATGTTTTTATTAAGGACTGGCATATTGGATATACATGTGATTTAGGACTATATCATTACTAGTTGCGCTTTTGAAACCTTAGATGGGAATTTAATTCATACAAAAGAATAGAATCTCATTGGAATACTATAAAACTGAGCCAAAAGTGTTTTTGTTTCTTTCAGAGAGATTCCATAACTTCGCTGCGACTGGTTTAATTTTATATCAAGCTGGCATAAATTTCAAGAGTTTAGAATGTTGTGAAAAAAATCTTTATATAAATTTTTGTGACATACCAAAGTCTGTTGCTCCGCAATGAATTTCGGTTCATGTCACATGGGATCCCAGAAACCTCGTGTCAGAGCTCCATTAAAGAGCACGAGCAGAGGTGATTTAAAATGTTGTATTTTAGATGTGTTTAAAAATTTTTAACGACCTTGTTAAAAAGCTCTTTTGAAATGAAATGAGGCAGCTGCGAATGGTTCTCTGTGCCAGAAAACCATTTCTGGACATAATCATTCAGCAAGTACCACGAACATATTATTAAAGTTGGAAAGTGACAAATAGTTGATTACCAGAGATCTAAAAACCAATGGAGACTCGAAGGACGAAATATAAACTAAGGATGATGCTCATCGCGTTCTTCGACGTTGCCGGTTTTTGAAAATAAAGAATTTGTAATATTTTACTAGCATAGGAATGGCTACAGTGACTTCATATTTCGAGCTTAGAGACTGCTGTAGAACGGTTCGGCATTAGGTTAGTAGAACGTTAGTTAGTAGAACGGTTAAGGCAGAGCACTATTATAAACGGTGATCCGTATTCGCCAAAACAAAGAAGTTCACTAAGTTATTCCAGGATTAGTTTTTAATTTTAAAATAAGCATTTCTTTTTAAACATTATCGATATCATTTTTTAACTTTCAGATTTAAAACAGCAGGTTTTCAAAAATGCTATGAAGCCAGAAAACAGTAATCTTTCAGAAACGTCAGGAAGACTAGTTTTTAACTTGAAAACAGCATCCCTTCATAAACATTATGAAGCCAGTAAATAGCAACACTTCATAAACGTTTTAAGGATTGCTAAAACCTTTTATGAGAAATAGCTGATCACAAATTATAAATCTTAAAAAGAGAAGCCCTTCATAAATACTATGAGGATTAAACTTGAAGAAAGAAAACGATCAAAAACGTTAAAACACCGATAAGCCGTAGTGCGTAGCACTGTTCAAGTAGGAGTTCAATTTTATTAATCATAGTAGCGAACTAAAATCTTACTAGCATAGTGATTCCACGGCATAATGGTGCCGATATTTTCATGCTAATTGATAATTTTTTATAGTTCCAAGTTAAAAAGTGCCGGCATTTTTGTGCCAGTCACCATTTGTGCCGTAATTAGTTTAGTAATCTTTAATATTGAGCAGTGCATTTGAAAGTGTCGGCTACGTTATGTCGGGGGAAAATAACTAAACCTTTCCTTATCCTGAAGGCCTGAAACAACTGTATTACACGATAAATAGATTCTCTGGAAGGATGAGAAGCTGAAGACGTTTTTAAGTGGCAGCACAATAATCCGTATTCATTTACTCGCCGTATTGAGCCCATCTTGCCCTAAGTGACTTTTTTTGACTTTCCACAGTTCATCTTACACATAAATAGTAAAGCGTATAACAACATTTATAAATTAGAGTATAGAAGTGTTTAAGACGGTATGAAGATAAAGTTGAAAGAAAGTTCAGAACAGAATTTCCAATTGGATCCACGAAAATTGCCAGTAGTGCAGCGAAATGCCTCCTTGCAGAGCGCAGTAAAAATTGAAATTTTATGTAAAATCCTTGCCCAGTTGATAGATGATATTCATCTACCTAACCCTTTGGATGTATTTATGGAAAATGAAATTAGCTCTACAAACTTTTATGGAAGTGAATAAACTACTGATTCGGAAGAATCAAGAATGTCAATAAATTATCTAAAATTTCAGAAAGACTGCACTAAAGGTGATTTTAACGACAATAATCCTTTTTCGCTTTCAGTTATTTAAGAATAAGAGTTAAGGAACTTTTGGATAAAAAAATTAACACGTCTTTTAATGTTTAATGTCTTTGTTTGAATTATGGAGTCAAACGTCTTAAAGTTTATAATCATTACTATATCTTCACAAACATTATTCTGAGAATTAGCTTATTGTAAAATCCGGTTTAGTGTACAGACATTTCATGCAAACAATATTTTTAGTGAAAAGTAACTTTTAGTTAACATCATGTTTTTCGTTCTTCAGATCGGAGGGACGGGCAGTGCAAACCAAAAAGGTGTTTCGCAATGGCCCCAGAGATGTAGCCTGCAGGATGTCGTTGATGACCAGAGCTCAAGGGGCACGAGCCTTCAACAGGGAGATGAAGTCCGGTGGCATGGTGAGAGTTGGACAAGATATGCAGATCAGAGGCGTGGTCAAAGAAGGAGACGGTATGTAGTTTTCATTTAAATGCAAATTCATTAAACTTGTATTAAGTATAAAATGCGTTGTCATGAAAACGACAGTTTAAAATACGAGTATTGTTTCGTGTGAACGATTGGCTAAACAATGCGAAGGAGACAGAAAATGGGATATTTACTGCAGTCGCAAGTGGCAACGAATATTGAATTAGCTGGACCCGTATAAATAATTCAAATGCCATTTCTTCAGTCTCCTCAAAGATGAATATAAGTTCTTATTCTTAGTACGATAACGTGTAAGTTAACGTAAGTATTAAGGATGTGTTAATATGCGTTTTGTTAACCCACTAATTATGTAAAATAACCCTTGCTGTAAAATGTTATTAAGAAATACATATAAAAAACTTTTAAACGATTGTCTTACTTACGCTGATGAGTACTGCACTTTTATAATAAAGAAGATAAAAAATAATAATAATAAAATCGGGTTCATTGACGTATACACGAAAATTCAGATATATCAGATCTTTATTTGCAGCGGTCATAATTTTATTATTTACTGAGAGGAATAAAACTTCTTTGGTATATAGATAATAAATTAGTAACTTATAATACAGAGATCATTGACATACGTTAACAGTATACGTTAGTAAACAGTATATGTTAAACTTTCAGATCTTTGGAGTGTTCGAAGTAGCTCTCTCCAACATCATTGCGCTTTTGCAGCCTGATTTTTCTCCAACTTAAATGCTTTAAGCTATCCATTTCAATAAAAGAGATGCTTTAAAAGCTTCCTCAGTTTCATCTTCGGAATGAAAATTACGATTGTCAATTTTGTTTACATTAAAATTATAAGGTATTTTCTCTCTCCTTCCAACATGTCATCGTCATGTAACGGTAGCACACTCGACGCGTATTTGAGAGGTCCAGGTTTCTGCCCCAGGGAAGTCACTGCACATTTTTCACTCCTCCAGCATCACAAAAAGCTAATGCCTGTACAGTGGCATCCGAACTAAAAAAGCTGGTGGACAATATACATCATCACCAGGATTTGGCGAGTGGGCCCCTAATTCCCAGTCGCCTTTTAATAGGAGGAGTATGTAAGGTATTCGCCCCTCTCCTTTCAGCATGCCTTCTTGGTGCAATTCTTCTTGGCACGACGTGTATTCGAGATGTCCAGGTTCGAATCCTGTTTCAAAATAACCTAATGACTCTACAAACTATAGCCAAAACTAAGAAATATCAGGATAATAGGGTGAATGTTATATAACCTTGAGGTGATTTTTTTCAAGTCTGTCTTAATAGGAATGTGCATTATCATGATGAAGCATGAGTCTTCTAATATTCACTTCAAGAAGAAATTCTGGAAAACGCTTAATAATGTACCTGTTAGTCGCAGTTATCTTCTGTTCAGGAGAAGAGGGTGGATATCATATCACCTTGATGTGATTTTGTTGAAGAAACTGGGCTATCAATCTTGCTGAATGAGAAATTGCATTATCATAACGAAGCACGCGTTCCCTGATATTGACTTCTTGAAGAATTTCTGGAAGACGCTTAATAGTGCACCAATTAGCTGCAGTTATTTTCTGTTCCTCTAAATTAATGCTTTTTCCAGGAGATTAGGATGGATTTTATATCACCTTGGCCCACCAGCGGCTGAGCGATACAGTCGCTGGTTTTTCGGTCCGAGGTTCGAATGCTTGAGAACGGGCTTGCTGCATGAGCCCCATGTGTAACGTGTATACGAGTCAGTTTCCCTTAGGACATTCTCCACGAAGACAGACCTTCCTTCAGGCAGATAGCCCTCGATTCCTTTGTCATAATCAAATAAACCAAACCAAACTTATATCAACTTGATGTGATTTTATTCAAGTAACTGAATTGTCAATCTTACTGAATGAGAAGGTGCATTATCATGAAGCATGAATCTCCTAATATTCACTTCTTGAAGAATCTGTAGAAGACGCTTAATAGTGTACCAGCTAGCTGTAGTTCTTTTCTGTTTCTCTATCTTACTGTTCTTGTACCTTTGAAGAAAACGGCATACATTTCTTTTCCCTTACCCTTGTTTGTTTTTCACTATTGTATGTTTGGAGTCACCTTCAAAGGTCCATACTTTATTTTCCTGACGTGTTGGAACGTCAAAAAACTGTATGTACACTTCATCCTCAGTTATGATTTTAAGAATAAAGCGGTTCCACCATCATTAAGTAATTTTGTGGTTTCGATACTGATTCTGATTCGTTTCGCTTTGTGGCCTTCTATTAAATTAAGGGGGACCTAACGACAAATAAATTATTTCATATTTAAATAATTACTTCATGTCTATATTTATGTATAAGTGAAAATCCAATTTTAAGTTTCTTCTGTATCATTTATTAGGTATAGCGATTATCATTCATATTTTCTCGAAGAACAGCTAAACAAAGGTCCTGCTGTTTGTTTTTATCCGGGAGAGAATTTCTGTCTCCATGAAATTCTGTAAATCATCTGAATTCAGAAGCATGGAATAGAATTTCATTTCCATATGCTAACTGTAAACGTTGAAGTCATTTTTTTTATTTAGCCCGCTTTAAAACCATAAAAAAAATCATAGCGTGACCGTCAGTTTCATTTTTTTTTTTTTTTTTTTTCAAAATTTATTCTACGATAGATAAATAGCAATTGTCAAATTGTCATCTGAGGACATAAAAGATTTTAGATTTACATATCCATCAAATATTTTCTTTTAACATATAATGTCTGCTCCTTCTAAAACAGAGTTATCTACTTAAGCGTTGCAATGACGTAAACGTTATTTGTTAAACTGAAAATACATTTTGAAAGCTAACGATATAAGAAGTAAGAAAGCTAACTATGTTAACTAATTTCATTAAAATAAATGTTTATTAAACATCCTACTTTCCCGATATTAGGCCCCATTTCTCTTGTATGATGAAGTTGACGTTAAGCCTTCGAAGAACATGTTAATCCCAAGTGCTCTGAAATCGGATTACCTCCTCAGTTAAGCTAACAGGCTTAATATTCGGTATTGCTTCAATCCAATTTTGCCCAAAGAGAACATGTTAGATGTTGACATTCAAAATGTCCTAACGGATGTTTTATGAATAGCAGCGACACATTTTTTGCTTGCTGTTAAAGATGGAATCATTGTACAGATTTATTCAAAAGTAAGGATTAGGCATTCGATTCTTCGAATTCAAAAAGATTTGACATCCGAAAAGTTGAATCTTCGGAACTCTTTTTTTTTTTTTTTTTTTTTTTTTTTCGTCGTTCGAGTCATATAGATCCTAACCCTAAAGGCTCTAAAAGGTTTAACTGAAAACTTAAGAATGATTAGTTTTATTGGAGTGAAATAAAAGCGTTATTGAAAAAAAATGAAAAGGAAAGAAAAATGTGATTGCTACAATTTTTCGTGGTAGCTAGCTCGTGGGTGCCCAAGTGTCATACTCTTAATTTTCTGAAAACAAGTAAACTTTCACTGTTTAGGATTAATTTGCTTTAATTATGTAAGCAGTCTTCTCTTTTGTACATCGCTTGAAAGGATTCTGGGAAAATATGAAACACCTGAAAGATGTTTCAGCAAATCATATTCAAAAATGAACTGTAAAACTCAAGAATTTTCAGTTTTCATTATATACTTTATTTACTAAATTTCATTTGTATACTTTCTTAACATATATGGGTTATATTTTTTAAAACTACATCCTTAAACTCGTTTTTCATCAAACACGTATTCAAGATTTGCTTTAAGAACGTTTTTTAATAAGTAGATTATATTCTCAGATGTGGGACTCGGGAAATCAGGAAACCATCAGTCAATCTTTCTAAAAAAAAAAAAAAAAAAAAAACTAAGAAAATTCAGTAGCGCAAACATCCCTAACGGGCCAAGGCCTGCAGTGCCCCGAAATCTGCTTTCTTGACGTTTGCCACTCTAAAGAGAGGTCACTAAAAATTGTAAAAATTTGCATTGCTGTGAATTTACAAGGTAAAGCAAAGCAGAAAATCGAGGGGTTATTGAAATTAGAAATGCCATTAGCTAAATTGTTTCAGAACTTCAAAAGCGTTTGTATTCATTATGCGCGCATAACGGCAAATGCTGCCATAGTACGAAATATCTTGCTGCCTCAAGTTGGCCACTGTCAAATCATAAACAGCCAGTGACCAGTGGCCTAAATGCTTACCAGCATCCTTCATTTTCCTTTCAATAACGATTTTAAATTTACTGCATAGCTCCAAACGGATGGACAATGGTCTTGACAGATGCCAACGTCCTTCGGTTTAATTTTGTCTTAAAAATATGTTCCAAAATGTTTGAAATGATACATCGTAACGCTCCGGTTATTGCATCACACTGCATAGGGGCAAATCTTCTCTTTTCTGGAACCATAATATCTCTAATTTGCCTTTTGCGTGGCTGCAGATCAGTTGTTATTGGTGTAACGGCATTTAGAAAAACATTAAAAGATCTTTAATTTATTTTCTAAACTTAATAAATGTGAAAATGAGACTGAATACTAAGTGTTAGATTAAATATTGTTATTCTCATAAGACAGACTGAGAGATGTTAAAGCAATAAAAAGCGTTTCTTGATCATTTATTGCGCTGTATTAGACACACACAGTAAATTATTAATGTTGATGCAATTGTATTTTATTCTGAAATTTATAGATCTGTGAATTTATGCTTAGCTTAATACGAGATTATTTTCTTTCTTCTGATAGATGTGCAGTTTGCAGCAATATTAGACTGCAACGCTAGAAATCTTATAGCAATGTTAAATTGAATTAAATAAAAACAAACTAGTCGATAGCATCAGAAACGCCAAAAATCCGTTCATCTACTGCACAATGATGGAATATATTTGACTTAGCAAAGATCAAATTAGCTGGACACGTAAAAGCTTTGTCTTAGTTTCTAAGCCAAGAAATTGCCTGTGCGAAAAGTATATTTGTTTCCCGCTTTTTTTTTTTTTTTTAACCAGATTCCGTTTTCGAGATTAATTCACCAGTTATTCTCTATAATAACTTACGAAACAGCGATGGGCGATCTGTTTGATAACTGATTCAAAAAACGGACTCTCTAAGTGAACAAACGGCGATTCGAAAAACTAAGAGGTAGCTCCTTCGAAGGAAAGGAAGAAAAAGTGCCAGGAAATTTTAATTCTCATTTTAAGGAAGAAAAGAACGTCTAGCCTCCTGTGTCAAACGTGAATTTAGCTTTTCTCATGTAAAACTTTTAAAACATTTCTTAATTCTTGAATTTAATTTCTATGTTGAAAGAAGGTTTTGGAGAATCTCAAGCTACAGTTCAAAGAAATCAGTAAAGGGAATTAGCGGTTGATTGAGACAATTTACCCGGTAATTGGATACTTTTCGCTCTTAGCTCCATACTCTCACATTGCTCTTGATTCCCTTTCTGTTCTCAATCTTATTCGTCAAGGTTATTGTTAATGAGCGCCAAGTCGTAGAAAGAACCGATTCAGCTCAGTGAGCGAGCGTTATGATTCATCTTCCAAAACGAGCAGTATTTTTCACCGCTATCGGGTAAATGTGAAACATTCTTAAACGCCACTTTAAAGTACACTCTTTGTAAATGAATTAACAAATCTTGGCTTATAGGCGGAATTCATAAACAAGAATAGGAAACACAAATTTTCATAATAAAATGTATTGTTGGTTATTTAACTAACAATACCTTTTTTCCTCAGGTTGGAACTACGCTATGTTGAAAGATGTTATAATAACTCGCGTATCTGGAAACAAATTTGGTGGCAATGTTCGTGGATATCCTTCCAATGGGCACGACGCACCTGGCAACAGTTTAGATGCAGGGGAGAATGCAATTTACAGAGATCACAGGCCGTCCCATTCGGATGCAGTTACAGCTCATGACGTTGCGCAGCTAGTGTTTAGTGATGGGTAAGTTTACTTTGCTATATAAAATTTACACCTGCAGGATTAAACCCAGCATGGCACCAAATGTTATGCTTTGATTGAGTGTTGGAAAATTTCGGTATGCGTTGCTTGAAAGTTGTGTTCTCCAAACATTTTGGATCATGGCTTCCTTGCTTGAACGTTTTTTTTATAACGCCCTTTACTCTTTTTGTAAGAATATTTAATTAAAATTGTATAATTAGAATACAATCTACTTGCGCATATTTTCGAACCTGAACCAATCCGTCAGATTTAAGTCCTCGGCTGTAAAAATTTATCCCAAACTGAAAAATTCATCCATAAACTGAATTTAAATTCGCCCTGTAAATCGAATTATATATATCGCCAAAAGCTGGTCGCCTAACTTAACTATATTTATTAGATTACATGAAGGTGGGCGAAAATTCCTCAGTCTTTCGAAAAATGGGCCATAAACGATCCCTCAAGCTTTCGAAAAAATATTGCTTCAGTAATGTTATCGGAGAAGCTGAATATGATATTATTTACAAGGTAGATGATGACTATATAGCTGGTGAAACAGAGGGACGGTGCCATTCATCTGGGCTGTTGAGTAGAAGGACTACCGAGAAATCCACGAAACTGCCAAGTTAGTTACTGATATTCAGTAATTTGACAAATCTATAGCATTATTGAGTAAAATAAAAAATGATACTTTTTCAGTTAATTTCAATTATTAGTACTTTTCCAAGGCATTTCTGATCGAATTAATTGCGAGTCATCTTAAACTCTCTCTCTGTATCTCTATGTATATCCCGATACTCAAGTTTCAGTAAGAAAATGTCTAATAAAATTTTTCGTCCTATACACAGAAATATATGACAATTCATTACTTAATTGTACATTAAAATGACTAGTTCATTTCATATTTATTTGCAAAACTTACCAGTGAAAATAACAGAAAAGATAATATTTTTATTTTCATGCTAATTATTTAATTTAAGGGGACTCATACACCTTAAAACCAATAAGATGTTCGAATAAGTGACTGTTGCAAGAATTGGGATAACGTATTTATTTTAAAAGCAATTGCTACCAACGTTTTACAGCTGACTACATAATATAGCTGTTTTCTGAAAGAATAATCAGAAAGTTTGTGTTGCCACAAATATTTTTATAATTTAATCCCCTTTGTGAGAACATTTTTCATCATGTTTCTAACTTGCGCGCACAGTTTAAAACATTCTGTTTGATAATTTAATTCCATATTTAATATATAGCTTTTATAACATTTGGAAACTATTGTGAACCTAAAATTCTAAAAATTTCATGTTAAATATTTATTTTATTTTGAGTTAAGTTTATAAAATGTATTTTATTAAAAAATTTTAATGTTTTCGTCTATAAAATTTTTCAGTATTAAAATATTCATCAGATTGTTGGTTCAATTAGGAAGTAGTGCCCATATAAAGAATTCCATCAAATTTCAAGTATGACCCATTAGCCATTTTTAAAATATCTTGCGCGCAAGGTGGAAACATGGCGAAATATTTTGTCACAAAGAGAATTAAATTACAAAAATATTTATGGCAACACAAAGTTTCTGTTACTATTTTCCAAAGCAGCTATATTATGTAGTCAGATGTAAAAAGTTGGAAGTAATTGCTTTTAAAATAAATAAAATATCTCAATTCTTGCAACAGTCACATATTCGAAGATCATAAGGGGTTTAAGGTGTATGAGTCCCCTTAATGGATTTAAAAATTAGACGTGTATGAGGCTATGCAAAAGTAATAATGATAATGATAATGAAAATGATAATGTAGTATAAATACTATTAGTATTACAATAGTAAAAGTAATATTTTATGGGGATAAGAAGTATAAAATATGATGCTATTTTATATGTAACCTGTTCAAAGTATTGAATAAATTATATCTAAATATAATTGAAAAGTACAGCTTTTTTGAAATTTAATTCCCTCTTTCTGTAACGAAAAGCTCCCAAGAGAGAGACATTTATGATTTTGAAAAAGACTAGATTTAAACAAATACTATTTACTACAAAAGTATTTCAAAAAGTAAACTTTCCATAATTATACAAAATTCTGTTTAGGTTTCTACAATATGCAGGAGCCTATATTTAAAGAATGAAATAATTTTATTTGAAAATGAACTAAAATTCAATGTTGGTTTTATAGAGTATGCATTTCCAAAGGCATACTACGGCTTTTTCATGATGTGAAAATGTTATATTCTGTAAACTAGAAACCCGCCATTTAAAACAGGGAAACGAGATAAGTAAGAATTTATCCACGGAAGACTTTTTTTGTTGTTGTTGTTTTACATTTGTAGGGCATTTCAAATCAGTTACTTTGAAGTTTTCATTCTACAGCTTTTACTGATTTTTTCTTACTTGTAATACTTCGGTCAAGAGAATACAATATTTTCAGAAGACTTATTTCCTTTAAAATGCAATTTGTTTTTTGTGAAACTATGATTACTTTGATATTGATGTTTGTCTAATCTTAATTTGGATACTGAGGCATTTCTCTTCCTCACAAGATCTTTTATTTGATATCTTTGTTCTTGGCCCAAATCTGGCTGGCTGTCATCAGTGAGAGGAAAAAGTAAGTCATTTTGCTTTGTTTCAGCTGCCGGAATCCGCTTTACAGACCAGTGGCTCCCATCCATCCTCAAAGGGACCCTCAAAATCCGTTGGTGGTCACCTTCAACTTCAAAGCTTTTATGTTTCAAAATATGCTGGATGGCGAATCTCTCCGTCTCTCTGTTCAAGTGGTGGCTTGCGTCGAATTAGCCGACTGTCAACAGGTAAGGTATTCCTCCCCCCGATGGGGTTGAAATATTGTGGCTGAAGTTCCTAATATATATTGTCTTTTATGTATTATTACTTAGCGTTCTCGATAATGATCTACCCAAATCTGGCTGGCCATCATCATCCAGATGAAATCGTGCCATTTCATTTGCCGTCCTGAAGTGAGAATAATATGACCATACCTTTTTGAGAAAGAAGGACACACGGTCACTGCGACATGTCAATATCTAAAGATAATTACAGTATTTCTCGTAGCAAGGAATCAATGATATCGGTAATGTAATTTAGACATTCTAAGAAGATGAAGAAACAGCACATGCTCAACAAATGAATTTAGACAGCACTTTGATGAAACATTTCACCACGCCTCATTTCATAAGGTCATGATGATGCATGATGTACTTCACCACTTCCTAGATCTGTCACTAATCTGTATGTTAGTCGCCAACAGTTAGTCGTTAAGTCTCTTTAAGTAAAACTGAAAATGCTCCTTGAAAAAAAAAAAAAAACATAGGAAACATTATTAAACTCAAATCTCTCAGCGGAATAGTTATAAATTAGTATGAAACAACCACACTGTTTCAGACCCATTAACATGCGGTTTTATGTACCAACTGGGTCAACATTTTACAACATGAACACGAAACGATGTCTTAGTAGACTCATAGTGTTGCTTATCGTTTCATTATCATTCCCTTTCTGCAGGTATTTTGTCCAGGAGATGGTCAGAGGGGTGTTGGAAAGAAACGAAAACGCAGAGAGTATCAGCCAGTCAATTCTACACATTGGGACGATCCGTTGGTGAAGAACTTTACAGAAGATTTCCAGCTGACTGTCACATTCGGAGGATTCGCTAAAAGTAAGTTCTGTGCTCAAGACTTAACACTGCATGAATTAATTATATAGAGTCTAGAATTACAAAAAAAATATCAATTATCTGCCCACTTCACACTAGAGATCTCATTTCGGGATTCGAACTTTGATTTCTTGGAATGCAGTTCAGCATTTATGCATTTGTCGGGATATTCATAAACCGAAGATTGCCATCAAAGTATTGCCAATGTATTGCGAAACTTTACTGTAGGAATGAGATGCACAAATCTTTGAATTCCTGAAACCTGGGAAATGATCCTAATTCTAAAGCCCCAATTTTCTTAATTACAAAGGTATCTATGGCACGTAATCTAATCGTTGCGAATGACACCGTTTTGCGTTCGGTCTGCTAAATTAAGTAAACTTAAATTAGCCGTAAAAAACTAAAACTTGATTTTCTAATATCTGTATGAACTGTCCCCTGATATTATTCTGCGCCTTAAGAGGGCAGAAATTTACTGGACAATGTATTCAAAATCCGGAATACTGTGGCATGGAGGCAGTAGGCATTTCACCAAATCTCACATATGCTGGATAGGGAAATCTTCCGAGGCCTCGGAAATATCTAGGTAGGATATATACCGTTTTGGGAATTATAATAGTATCACAGCTTTAATAGTATCTTGTCACATAAGCGCTCTGTCCTGATCGGTATGGTAGTTAGCGATGCTAATTAGAGAACCGATGGACTTGTGTTTCGTATATGAAGAAGATCCATATACTAGAGAAGGTATGAAAGTTTGTACAATCCCTGTACGGCATAGGAATACTCAATGCACTGGCCAGCCGAAAGCTTCTCGAACTGTTTGGTGATATGGGAAAGAGAGATGGCTGACTCTAGGGCCGTTTTCCGAGATGTCTTTCATCAAATCGGTGTGGAACTAAACCGTTTATGTGGTGAGACTCTATCTGTGCAATCTATGGCGAAATTCTGGTGTCGCCCTCACTTGCACCTGTACCTGTCACCTTTGTGCAAATTGGCCACTTTCAGAAAACTCTACAAAGATGCTTTCGCATAAATGATACCCTCTAATGAACATCAGCTTCTAAATTGTAAAAAGCAACTTTCATGAAGTTATGGGTACTTTGCTGCCGAGATGATACTAAGCGCGTAGGCTTCTAACTTATTGCTCAGAGTAATAAAACAAATGAAAATTCTATTAGCATAACGATAACCTGACATAAAGGTAAGTGTCTCCTTCATAAAAGTTTCTTTTGTCTGATTTTAATAATGAGAAAGAGAACCTTTATGCCAAGGCACTCTTATAAAAATTTCTGTTTTCTCGAATAGTGGACAACTCGCATAAAAGTGCCGGTACTTTTATGATGAAGCGCTATTATAAAGGAATCCTTCTGGGTAATGTAGCCGATCATTACCCTACTGGAATATCGCCCCTGTTTCAATCTCGCCTGCCTAGAATGGGAGTATATGGGGAGAGTGGAATCTCATCATACAGTTAGCCATCACCGTTCCACTAACGTGAAATAGCTTATAACTCTCCATACAACACTGTTTTCAGTGGGGGGAGGGATGTATCGCTCGATAGGGAAATATCTGCTCTAAGTTCAACTTTTTCCGGTACAGTTCGGATAATCCTAGTACTACAGTATTATATTTGTATCATTTCAATTTTTTTGAAGGAAGTTTTTCTCTTTTTCATGAAAAATCTACATTTTAAAGGTACACTTCATTTTTATTTTCAGCGCCGATTGTGTCATCGGCTTCTGACATCGAAGTGACATCCAGTTCCATGAGCGGCGAGTGTAAAATCATTTTAATATCCGTATCCAGTGCTGCAATTCTCTTCTGCCTCGTCACCACTTCGGCTGCTGCCATTGCGATAGGAAGCAAAAGGAAAGGCGTGCTGGCGCCATCTGCCGATGAACTAGCGAAAATCAGGAAGAGTTTGGAGAGATCCAGGCGAAGGAAATAAGACTAATATTTAAAAAGTTGTGATCTAAGTGAAAAATGTATATTAAAACAATAACACTATATTTTCTAAAGCGAAATAAAGCTAATATTTTATACCATTCTTCGCGTTTGTTTTTAAGGCCTTAATTTCGGAATTTGATTTTAAAATAAAGCTTTCTAGGAGAGTTCGATTATCGCTTAGGCGCCGTAGAATCTCGGCCTAAGATCCCCTGATTTAGTTAAAAGCATTATTTATTAATCTTATTAATAGTATAAGTGTAGGGAGCGTTATTAAGATTTCCATACCTTATTTGCCAATTGCTCATTTTATAATTGTATTCCTCTTGTACACGAGAAGATTAATAATTAATATTATTTTATTTAATCGAATTACAGGAGCAGTTCCTTCAGAAGAATTCCGGGAAATTGATTAAAACAAAGTACGATATAATTGCCTGAATATATAAGGAAAAATGCTTCCGTAGAGAAAGTTTTAAGGGAAAATCGCTAGTATTCACATTACACATGCCCCCCCCCCAAAAGGAAAACTTGTAGAGACATTAGGATTTTTTTTAAGTAGAAGAGATGAACAATGCCGTCGCCGTGCCTCGAATACGCGTTGAGAGTGCTGACCACTACAGTATGAAAGCATGCTAAATAGGCGAGAAAAATACCTTATATATTTCCCCTTTTAAAGGAGTATATATGGAGAAGCATCATTCATCACCTTTTTTTTAGTTCGCGCACCACTGTAGAGACATCAAGACTTTTTTGAAGAGATGAAAAATGAACAATGCCCTCGCCGGGGCTCGAACCACGGACCTCTCGAATATGCGTCGAGCGTGCTGGCCACTACACCACGAAGGCATGCTAAACCTTAAAAACTCATTCAATGAGCCTTTTCCCTTGAAACCGAAACTAGAACATGAAACTTTCAATAGTTTTCTGTTGATGAATGAAAAAGCTTCAAGTTCAATTTCAGCATTTCAACATCCGAACAAACAGAATAATTTAAATTTTGCCTACCTGTCGAACGAGATTGATTCTTTCGAAAACATTAATTAAATCCCGACTTTTATTGACTCACGAACGCAGTACACAACAAAGAGCAGGAACATATACAGCAAGTTATAATTCGATTTCGACATTCGTCGCTCGGATATACATCGCAGCTTACTCCCGTCCTTTTTGGTCTTAACACCTCTCTTAAGAATGCAGCCATTAGTAGATGAAAAGCAATGGTATGTACTTGCACTGAAGTGAAGCCAGGAAATCTCCATGTATCTATCGAGAAACTACCAGTGTTTCGCGGCTGGGTCCACTGAACAAACTAGATAACAACTATCTTTCAGGGAGGGAGCTTTGTTGTCGATAAAGGGGAACACATGATATTGTTCTTGGAAGTATTTTCTTCTATCGGACAATGCTGATTCCGTACAAACAGCGGCCGAGTATTTAAGACCGTGGATACTGGGAGTTCGGCACAGCAAATAGACTGGCAATAGGAATTCGTGGTTTTTCCCATTGCATAACATGTATGCTAGTCAATATCCCTTAGAACCGTTTTCCGTTTAAGCATCTTCATCTTTAGGCAGATAGCCCTTGTGAGCTTTGCTATGTAGTTTATAATATCTTATACTTAAACTTTCTTTGTTATAAGTTATGTTATTTATAGATAATATCTAAGAACAATATTTTTGTTTAATACTTAAATTTTTATATTTCTTTTGTTACCTTCTCACTTCTTTCCTGATATTAGTGAACACTAGCTATAGCAACCCGATAATACCTACAGCAACATATTAACAAGTCCTCTCATGACTGCTGCCATCTATTAACAGATATATGAACTAAATATCTGAGTGAAAGGTAATATCAAAACAACAACAAAAAAGTAATAAAAATTTTGAAAAATAATTCATTGTGCTTTATAAATAAATGTAAAAAAAAGTAAAATAAAATAAAATAAAATAATAAATAAAATTCTTGTGTCTAATGAATAAAAGAAAATTTTATATCATCATTAATTCTCATATTTATATTTCCATCTTTTTTCTTCCTAAAAAAAAGCATGTTTAATGATATGTTAAGAGCACCTATGAAGAAGCAGACTACTATAAATATAGCACGTCAAGTTAATTTTGTATTACGCATTTTGCCATTTTTGAACAGATATGTAAAATAAATATGATTCAAACATGCTTTCTAAAATTAGGGAAGTGTTACTGCTGCCATCTATGGTAAACATTTAAAACTGAGTTACAATAGCTGAATTTTCCGACTTTTAATATTTTCGTGTTTGCTTCACATTTATTCCATGATATAACCTATTTTATGACAGATATAATAATATCAAATATTATTATATTCCATGATAAACCTATTTTATGACAGATTTAGTAATATCAAATATTATTATATCTATTATTTAGTCGTTATTAGTGTAAATGTGTGATTATAAGGTATGTTCGTAACTTGGAATTAAATAAATTCATTTGTATTTCAATTATATTCAATAATTTTTATGCATTGAAACCATCATTGTTATCATTGCATGAAGTCTTTTAATGTGAACTTCGAATGTCACCTGCTTAAAGAGACCTTTTTTCCATTTAAATGAAAGAGAGAAATCAGTTCATGGAACATGAATATTCGTTATTTTTTCGTATATTATATTTTTTACGGTGAATTTCGCAATTGCGTTTAATCAACCTCATATATTAAACCAATATTAAATATATTAAACCAACCTTACTAAGTGAGCTTGATTTAATACATTAATGTATTAGTATTTTTGTCTGTTACTCTGCATTATCTTTTCTACCTACTGATTCAACATAATTTGAAGTATGGAGTCATGATCTAACTCTGACTGCCAAATGAAATGCTGATAAGATCACTTTTGGTAGCAATTTGAATGAGAAGAGTGTCAGATCAGGTGTGCAGAACTATCATATGCCAGATAATATATATATATACAACATGTGTATATACATATATATATATTAGAAATTGTAGTAAGCTCGCCTAAAAGTTACCAGGAGCTGTGGCTCAACACATTTTAAAAAACAATGTCATTGAAGGGTGAGAAATTATGCTACACGAGAAAAGAAAATAAATACAGTAAAATACTTAGCGTTGGAAACTAGTAATGGCAAAAAATACAGTATTGTACTAACAGTATTGTACATACAGTATTGTACAGTAGTACAATACTGTATGTACAATACTCTCTTCTCATACAGTATTGTACTAACTACCTTGCTTGTTATAAATTAGGAAACTAAGAACAAAAAATTGGAGCAATGGAGAAAACAGCAAATAGCATGAAAGAGAAAAAGAGAAAATTTTTTTTGAAACGAAATTCTAAAATCTAATTATAGCCCTTTATCTTTGCAAGATTATCTACTAGAATTTTCTCTTCTTTTTATAATTTAGTGTTACATTTTAACTTTAAATATTAATTTATAACGTTAATGGTTGCTTTTTTAGTTTGCAGTTGTGTTCATTAGTTGGCAGCAATACTAAGGTCACTAAAATATAACAAATCAAAGACAAATGTGAGAGCGGTTGAAAAGACTCGAGTGCACAGTTTTGAGATTTGCTTTGTTGGTTAAATTTTTTTGGCGTGGCTCTGCAACTAGTCATTATATTGAAAACGGAATTCGAAACAAAACACTTATCCGCTGACTGTTTATTAATTACGAAACATTTAATTGCAGAGCTTCAGTAGTAGCACAGAAGACTGCCGATAAACGGTGAGACAATTATAGCTGTTCGAGCTGGTAATGGACATAGGTAGGCAGAAATGAGTGCGAAACTGTACACTGACGCTTAAGTGGCAGCGAATAGTTGAAATGATGAAAATATAATAGATCTTGATAAAAACAGCAACAAGGAAACGTTAGAACAACGCAAGTAGCTTTGAAAGAATATAAGCGCAGACATAGAGTTTGAAATAATACGTAGAGTTGGTTTTGTGAAACACAATTGGGAAAACAAAATATACAGCACTGAAGAATACTAAATCATTGTTGAATAAATAGATCTACTCATGTAAATATTATATAAACTATATAAGAGTCAAAATAACTTGCTGAATAATATTGTGGCGGATGGTTCGAGGCCGTTTGATTGGATGTTCGACCGTTGGATTGTAATCTACCAATCTGGCAATATGGATATAATTTGAATTTATAATCTGCGTCAAAAATATTATGAGAACTTTCCAGGATAAAGTCTTGAATATGTTGTATCTTTAGATCCTCATAAGTTTGCTGGTTCCTTAGAAACTGCGGAATGTTTACAATCGTTCTCAGAATCTATTATTTTCAGGGACATCGATTTTTTCTATAGGATTTTAATGCTATTGTCTACACAGGGGTAACATAGAAAAGTACTGGATAAATAAAGCTGGACAATGTATCCTTTCCTCTTTTAAGGTGAAGCCTTGATTTTCACCCTACAATAATGTAAATTGTTATAAAGCAGCATTAGCTCGATTTAAAGCGGGATCAACTTGTTCTGTGAAATGTAATTAATTGCCCAGAATGACACCAAGATACTTGGTAGAATTCACGACTGGGACGTTTCGGTTGTTGATCCATATGTTAAAATTGATAACAGGTTTTTCTTAAATCTTTTAAAAGGAATGGCATAGCATTTATTAGCGCTAAGCTTAGTTTTCCAAAGATCACGCTAGTGAGCGACAGTATTTAACCTGAGATGAAAATTATCAGTAGCATGCTGCCTTTTCACTGAGTCATAACGACGGTGTCGTCAGCGTACTTGGCAATTGTGCTGTTGAGCGGTTCCGGCACGTTATTTTCATACATATTAATGAGAAAAACTTCAGTTTCTTTTAAGTCATCTTTTATTTTATTGTTCCATTCTTCATTTTATGCTACAGTAGTAGTTTTCTCATACTTAAATGCACAGTTTATTGAAAAAAAATATGTCCTGCAATATGTTACATTCGAAAAGAGTGAATTGTGAATTTTTGTTTGATGAATCCTTTTCACTAATATGCGCTTTTGATAAATTGGATACTGAAAAATCGGAAAGTTGCGCAAAGAATTTCCTTATAAGTCAATACACTTGAAAAACAGAAGCATAGAAGTTTTCA